CTCTTCCCCTGAGGCTCCTGCTCCCCCCCATCTTCATTTTCCCCCAAGCTCCACCCTGTGACCAGGTCTGGACCTGGAGCTGGACCCTAAGATGTGTCTGGGTCGTTGTTGCTAGGCAGATTTAACACTCCACATCCAAGAAGCGCCTGGAACTGGGTGTGGTAGTTTTAGAGTCTGGCCCAATATTTTCCATCTTGCTGGGCCCCAACTCCGTAATTAGAACCGCACAAATCCATGGAGATCCTCTTTATACCCGCAGATATCCGCATCCACGGCTATGCATGTGGCTATCTGCAGATCATTTTGGTGGACATGGGTGTAGAGCTGAATACACATTGGCTATGTCTAGACTGGCATGATTTTCCGGAAATGCTTTAAACGGAAAAGTTTTCCGTTAAAAGCATTTTCGGAAAAGAGCATCTAGATTGGCATGGACGCTTTTCTGCAAAAGCACTTTTTGCGGAAAAGCGTCCGTGGCCAATCTAGACGTGCTTTTGCGCAAAAAAGCCCTGATTGCCATTTTTGCGATCGGGGCTTTTTTGAGGAAAACAAATCTCAGTTGTCTACACTGGCCCTTTTGTGCAAAAGTTTTGTGCAAAAGGGACTTTTGCCCGAACAGGAGCAGCATAGTATTTCTGCAAAGCACTGATTTCTTACAGTAGGAAGTCAGTGCTTTTGCAGAAATTCAAGCGGCCAGTGTAGACAGCTGGCAAGTTTTTCCGGAAAAGTGGCTGATTTTCCGGAAAAACTGGCCAGTCTAGACACAGCCATTTTGTATCCTTGCAAGGCTGTCTCCATAATGCCAAGTGGTCAGGATAGCAACTACTTCCCAAAGGGCCATGTGTTCTGGTGATTTGGGGGTAGGCTGAGCCCAAGATCCAAAAGCAGGCTATTTTCCCTGAACTCTGAAACATTTTAGAGGAGGTGAGTGGTATTGTTAACCCTGCAACTGGCTTCTTGCCATACCACTGTACCTGCAGCATGGGAGGAGGGGGGTAGGATGAATCTGCTAGTTCCGCAACAAATGCAGCTGGGTCTGTCACCCTCTGAACAATGAAGATGGTTGTGCTGTCAGGAAGGAGACTTGTGTTCTCCTTAGCACGTCTTGGTTGATGATTTTGTGTTCTTAGGAAATGCCTAGAATGGATCTCCAGCACCACAGGTGGAAGTTATTGAGTCTCTTTTCTTGCCTGCTACCTGAAGACCACGTCTCACTGCAGTAAAGGAGGATGCTGACTGTGTAGACTCCGCAAATCAAGATTTTAGCCTTCATTTTATGATTCTTGATTTCCCTTGCGGGTTTGGTGAGGCAACCCACTTTGGTGGCTGCCTTCCCAATAGGCGTGACCAACGGCTCATCCAAAGACAAGTTCTGATTCATAAGAGCTCCCAGGTAACAAAAAGAGACCCAAGTGTGGAAATTGGTGGCGCTGAGTGTAATGGGAGGTTGGCATTCTGTGATAGCAATGGAGCAATGGCCACAGGGGCCTCATCGCAGATGGCTTGACTGAGAGAAAGCAGTGTCAAGGCAAAGGTCAGCTGCACTGCCTGGCCCTGTAATACGGACACAGCTGAGCACCATGTATCAGAGGGGTAGCCGTGTTAGCCTATGCAGATTCTGAGCACCTTGGTGACTTTGCCTAGGCTCCTACAGGTGTTAACAAACGCTGCTTCCATGAGACGGGAAGATAGCCTGGGTCCCAACGGCTCCTTGGTTTCCCAGAATAATAAACCTGCTCATTTTAAAAAGACTACGGGTGACTGCGTATCTGTGATCACAAGCACTCTAACGGAAAAGAATGAGGTGTCCATTCAGACCTGTCTAGTGATAATCATATAACACATATGGGGTGTTGTATCCTGCTCAAGGAATGGAACAATTGTGATATTCCCCCAATGACAGGAAGGGACTAGGTTTTGCAGAAAAAGAGACCATAGATCCTGTTTTTCTGTGAAAATCCCATTTCTTAGGCAGCAAATGCGGGTTTTGAGTGCATATAAATGTTGAGAGTAACAACTTTTTCTAGTTGCATCCAAGATACCAATCCACTCCGGGCAATGATTCATACAGCCATATGATGTGATTCATATGATAGAGGGCTATAAAATCATGACTGGTGTGGTGAATATAGCGAAGGACGTCTTAATTACTCTTTTTCACAGCAAGTGAACTAGATCTCAACCAAGTAAATTAATAGGCAGAAGGTTTAAAACAAACTAAATAATATATTGCTTCACAGAGTCAACGTGAGGAATTCTTGGCCAGAGAACACTGTGAAGGCCAAGATTAAAACAGGCCATTAGCCAGGATGGGCAGGGAAGTTATCACTAGCAGATGTTTGACAGAAGACGGGAACCAGGCAACAGCAGATGGGTCACTTGATGATTGTCTGTTCTATTCATTCTCTGTGGGGCACCTGAGATTGGCAACTTTCAGAAGACAGGAGACTGTGTTTGATGGACCTTTGGTCTGACCCAAGAGGACCATTTTATATTCTGGGCTAGACGGACCATGGGCCATGCTTATGTTCTTAATTCTCTCCACTGCTGGAAAGGCTGCTGCAGAGAAGCCTGTTCCAAGTGACCCCTGCTGACATGGACCCCATAGCAGATATGCAGGGCCTGGTGAGTGGCAGGCTAATGGAGGATGAGTGTGGGCTGATAGCACCATGACTGGTAGCACCGGGACCAGGACAGGAGTGTGGTCTGGTAGCACTAAGGGGTAGGGTCCGATAATGCCAGTGACAGAGCTCATGGTTTCAGCTAGAGCTGGGCTGGACCACAGAGAGTTCCACCTTCCCACTAGAGAAACTTATGACTGTACTCAAGTGTTTCCTTTTCATCCATTTTGGGGGGGTCCATTTTAATGGAAGAAGGATCATTTGTCTCTGAAAGCTCAGCTGCCAGGTTGCTACCCTCCGGCAGCCTCCTCAACGTGCCAGAGAAATGGGAAGTTTTTGGTCTGCTTCCCTCTGTCAAGAGAAATGAAGGTTGCACTGACATACCCTAGGGATGCATTTGGAGAAGGGACAATAACTCCCCCAGTCGTTGGCTGGGATCCTCTGCCCATCAGCTCCTCTAGACACTCTTCCCAAACCTGCACATCCCCATTCAGCAGTCCCTCAGGCAGTGGCTACTGTGACAGGCACATGTCTGCTGAGCTTGTGCTAGCAGAGAGCCAGAGAGAGTCCTAGCAAAGGGAAGGACACAGAGAAATGCGGGGGGATGGAGGGAAGATCATAGCTGCAAGTGGATCACTGAAGCCTAGGCCTAACTTTGGGGACTCTTGGGTCCTAAGTCCTCTGTTTTATTCTTCAGGAAGAAGGAAAAGGATGTCCCCTTCTGGAACCATCCAATGGAAATTTCCATGTATGGAGCCTTGTAGAATCTCCCTTCCCCAGCCTACACCTTGGGTTTGTAATGCAGGAAAATGAGGATGCTGGGGAGAAAATCTGCATCTATAATAGTAGGAGTAATAGTAGTATTTTCGCAGTATCTTAGTAGTATTAATAATAATAATTATATTGTATTTTAATTCAGAAAGGTCAGAGGTGCGACAGAATCCTCGTTACCACCCACCAGTTACAAGGGAGCGATGTGTCTTATCGGAACCATAAGACTCGTGATGACAAGCCCGGATTCCAAAAATGTTGCCTGCTACAAAGATTCATCTCCTGTGATTTGGCCTCTGTAGTTTGCTATCAGACATGACGGGGTTAAAGCTGGAGCAGGCAAAGCCAGACAGCTGAGACTCCCTGATGGTCAAGTGGCCCCAAGGGAAGGTACAAACATGCTGCATAAAGGCAGTTGCCTCTCTATCTGAACACACACTGCCTGCTGCCCGTGCAACCTCTCTGGTGACTCCTTGTGCTTTAGGGTGAAGACCTCTGGTGCCAGCGGCTCCCTTCTAGCAGGAACTGGGTACGTTGGCAGGTGTCACTGTCTGTAACATGCCGAGTGCAGGGCAAAGGCTGCAGGCTGTTTGCACTGACAGCTGTTCTGTGCAGCGGCAGAGGACTCAGCTGGGCTGGTGGGGTGACTCAGTGATGGGGCTGGAGGGCATCTTGGGAACCCTCCTCTACCTTTGTCCCTGATTGACTGTAGGTTATTTAAGCTACACAGAAATCTGGCTCTCAACCAGAGCTCAGAGAGTTAAAACCCAGATGCCCTGTCTCAGGATTTCTCAAGTGGTGCCATGCTTCACCGTGGTTACTCAAGGACTCGGTAATCTGGCAATCCACTGTTCCCTCCCCTTGTCCCATTTGCTTGACTTTGATTTCAAATAAGAAGCTGCCACAGTCATCAAGTGTATGCTCATACATTAGCCTCCCCCCCAACAGGCAACACTTTTAGTTCCATTCCTTATCTATCTTGTTGTACTAAAAGCCCACACTTATTAGTCAGCATGTAAAAGTATTAAAAGTCAACCCCCAAATCCAAACAGGCTTAGAAAAGTCTACTGCTAAGATCCCTCTCTGCCCGGAGAAATCATCTCTGAGAGATCAGAGGGGAAAATGGGTTGACATGTGTGTGCTAATGGACAGATGTGAAAAAACCTTGTCACCATGATACAAATATTATAAGCCAAGCTTTGATGTCGTGCATGCATGTTGGAAGCCAGCACGGAACGGTTGGAATCTCTACAGGTAGGAGAAGTGGTAACTTTACTTCTTGATGAGTTTCGGTTTCGGAAATGTAGCAGAAGTGCTCCAAATACTGCCCGCCAAATACTTTGTGCTATGAACTCTTTGTGCAGGAAACAGTAGTATGATACAGTCCCTTAGTAAACAACAAGTAGTCCTGTAGCACCTTAGAGACTAACACAAATATAGAGAGTATCATGATCTTTCACGGGTAATATGCACTTCTTCAGATGAGTAGAGTGGAGGCAAAAGGGGGACTTGCTCAATTTATAACAGAAAAAGAAGGGGGGGATACCTGTCAGTTGTAGACCCAGTGGGCTCAGTGGGATGAAAATATCCCATGCTTAGCTGTGCTGAATGAAAGAAAAACTGGTTTTTAACTGGCCCGACTAGTTCATGTTTTTGTTCAAGCCTTGTTTTTTGTGCATTACCATTTCTCATATCTGACTTGTGTCCATTTATCCTTTGTTGTTAAGACTGTCCAGTTTGGCCAATATACCTGGCAGTGGGGCACTATTGGCATTTGATGGCATAGATCACATTAGTGGATGTGCCTGATGTTGTGACTTGTGTGGTTAGGTCCTGTGTTGGTGCCACTTGTGTAGATGTGTGCAAAGTTGGCAATAGGGTTTCTTGCAAGGGTAGGTTCCTGGGTGAGCTTTTCAGAGGCATGATATGTTGCTGCTAGAAATAATTACCTCTGTGTTTGGGGGTTGAATGTAGGCAAGGTTTGGCCTGTCTCCCAAAGCTTGTGAAAGTGAGGAATCCTTTTCAAGGATATGTATCAAAGGGGTAGCCGTGTTAGTCTGAATCTGCAAAAGTGGCGAGGAGTCCTGTGGCACCTTATAGACTAACTGAAGTGTAGGAGCATAAGCTTTCGTGGGCAAAGACCCACTTCGTCAGATGACATGACTGGAAGACTAAGGGTGTGTCTAGACTACATGCCTCCTTCGACGGAGGCATGTAGATTAGCCAGATCGGGAGAGGGGAATGAAGGCC